TAATGAAAATATGATACAGTCTCACAGTTTTGACCAGAGCGTGATTGGGCTTCCTGGGCGGAAGGAGTCACAGGAGACTTCTGTGGAAGCCGGGGGACTTTCTCCCTGAACACCCCTGATGTCGACAGAGAATGCCTCGTCAATGGGAACACCTGTAGATGGAGAGAGTTGGCCCAAGGGTGCGTCATGGGGGCAACAGCGCATCATCTTGAGAAGCCAGCAGCACGCCAAGGAAGAGAAGGGGAGGTCACACTGGAGTGGGCAGCAAGGGTTAGCTCAGCAGAGCTGTTTCCCTCAAGCTGATTTGAGGGAAGAGAAGGAGCTGATGACTGGATTGTCCTTCTGTGGGTCCGAAAAGGGAGGCTGGTACCCCATGATGGGATATCTGCGGAGAGGCACCAGCTGCAGGAGGGAGAACCGGCAACTGAAGTGTGCACAGAGCCAGGTGAGCGCAGAGGAAGGGGTGAGCCTGGAGACCGGGCAGGGCCACAGCTCTCCCTGCTCCGGAGGATTGCATGCCAGAGGAGCAGACAAGCAAAGCTAGCTGAAAACATCTATCTGTGTGGAAGTAGAGAAGAGATTGAGATGGGGACCTCTGCGCTGCCCGCCTGCGCTTAGACTGACTCTACCCTGGGAGGGTTTAAGAGAGCAAAAGACCAAGCTACTGGGCAAGCAAGGAGAAGTGGGTGGTTTTCACAGAGGTTGTCTGCAGCTCAGAGGTTAATGAGTCAAGAGAAGAAAGTAAGTGAAAGACAAGCTTTTTTCAGCACCGGACTCACCACAGGAAACAAAGCCGTCAGAGGGAAAGGAAAATCAGAAAACACGAAGGGGCCGCCTCCGAAAAGAAACCCTGAAGATGACCCCAAGGGCAAGGCACATTCATCCTATAGACCCAAAACAGAAAACGAGAAAACAAATATACAAAGAAATACAGAATAGAAGCCACACAATTTGCCAAGGACAGCATTAAAATTGTTTTTAAGAGGCTATACGGAAGAAAAGAATTAAAACAGGGATGCCACTTGCAACAATTTCTATAACATAAATATAAAGCTGTTTCACGCTCCTGAGACCAGAGATTTAGTTTGATTCTGGAGAGAGTGAGAACTTTCCACATGTGCGGTCCGGGCACAGGAGAGGGATGGGTAGTGTAGGAGGACCAGGGAGTGAGGAAGCAAGGAGGGTGTAGAGTCGAGAGGCACACACCGATCCTACTAACAGAGAAAGAGGAAGAGAAACTATGAACCTGAGGCTTCCTGGGCCTGACACACAGGACCAAGCCAGTCAGAGGTGGGAAAGGGGTGTTAGGGTAGGGCCATGGCTCAGCAGGTAAAGGTGCTTGCCACACAAGCCTAACAGCTCCAATCCCCAGAAGGTGGAAGGAGAGAAGCAACCTCACTGAGTTGTCCTCTGACCTCCACACACACCGTGCACACACAGACATGGCTAAGAAGGACGGCAGTGTTAGTCCTTCTTAGTGAAGGAGGGGAGTTGGCTTTCTTGGTTAAGGAGTGGTGTGCTCTGCAGGATTAACTTCCATTACGTGTGAGTCATCACAGTCCGAGGAATCATGAATCAAGCCCGGAATCATGAATGAACCACCCGTAAGGACTGTCAGTGTGCCAAGAGCTCTCGTCCCCCGCTGCTCTGGACTGGATTCCTAAGCGGTGCTGCTCAAGGGTGAGCTGGGCTCGCCTTGGCAGCCAGCCGCACACCTCCCTGATGCTCGGGAGCGATCGTAAGGAAATGATCAGGGCTTGGCTCTGCCGAGTATAGCTTATGCATTTGTCCCAACCTCATCCCTGGGCCGACACTCTGCGTCTCCATCCTTGCCGTAGGGTGAGACTGGTATGGCCAATCTTTGACAAAGGCGTCGAGGCCAGGTAGGTACGGGCATTCATCCTGTGTTCGGGCCTTAAGTGTTGTCTTTGCTTGAGTGTGGCTCTCGGTTAGGTGTGTGTGCTGAAGAAACTGCCCCCTGAGCCTCTCACTAGCCTCCAGTGTCAGGGCAGCTCTGGGAAATGGCATTGCCATCTGTTGACTCTTTTTTGCAAACACTGGATCTTGGTTTGGGTACTGATAATTTTTTTCCTTGTGGTGGCTGGCTGCTTGTTTTGCTGTGCTAATGAGGTGGGCCTGGTACTTCTTGCCTGCTAGACGAGCACTCCATCACTGAGTGACATGCCCATCTCTCGATCCTAAATTGTAGACACGTAGCCTGGCTCTCTTACCCCCTCCTCCCCCACCCTTGCAAATCCCCCCTCCCTCCCCTCCCCTATAGGACTTGTAACTTGCTCTAGGAAACAGTAGGCCTTGTAAATTACCAGCTTTCTACAACCATAGTCTGGGGTTCCTCTGCTCTGCCTAAACAGCCTACAAAAAGAGCTTACAGCCCTCCTCGGGCTCAGCTGTGCAGCCTAAAGGCCACAAGGTACACCTCTCACATATGTGTATATGTCCCCAGTGTTTCTTAGTCATAACAAGGGAGTGTGTCAGTTCACAAGTTGATGCACTAGCCCACTCCTAGGATGGTTAGCCACCTATGATGTCATCATTGGTTGCCACCACCAGGGGCCTGGGATAAAAGGACCCCTGCCTCTTACCTCTCTCTCTTGCTCTCTCTCTTGCTCTCTCTGCCTTGATGTCTTTCCTGGGGGTTCCACACCATCTCTCTCTCTCTCTCTCTCTCTCTCTCTCTCTTTCTCTCTCTCTCTTTCCTTCCCTCCATCCAATAAATACTGTGTGCATGGTCCCATTTTTATATAAATACTACCAGGGTGTCTTGTTAAAATCCACATCTTTGAACTCTAGCCCCGACCTACTCAGTTATAATCTGTGGGTTGGGGCTTGGTCGAGGGAGGGGGCGGCACAGCCCAGGAGTTTGCATGTCATGAGCTCCTGAGGTGACTTTCATGGACAGCCTAAGGTCTGGGCATCTCTGGGCTTACAGGTGCTAGCATTGAGCTGGGGGGCGGGGGGGGCTCTTGCACGTACTTTCACATCCTGATGTGAGCTGTTACCTCCCACAACAAACTTCACTGACCGTTTCGGGAATATAGCACCAGGAAAGTGGGGGAAGAGGCCATGAGCTCATCTGGTGGACCAGGGAAGTGAGGTGGAGAAGATAAGCCGGCGACCAGGATTTCTTCTGTCTTTTTCCCTGTCTGCCTGGGCCCTGCAGATTTCTCTTCCTGCACTGTGCTGGTGGCAATACCTTGCCACCCACAGGGTGTGTTCAGCACAGCTTCCCTGCTCTTTAGGTAGGGGTGATCCCAACTGCGTGTGTGTGTGTGTGTGTGTGTGTGTGTGTGTGTGTGTGTGTGTGTG